CTAGCTATTGCTTTGAAGCTCCTAAGACAAAACACTATACAAGAAGTAATAATGGTTTTCGAGGGGACAATTTTGAAAGAAAATTAAGCCAATGGCACAGAAAAGAAAATTACAAGTCAAAGTTTAATTTATTTTTGGACACTTTCTCATGAAAGGCAAATCTCCAAAGAGGACCAGATAAAACTAAGTACATAAAAGTATCGGGGTTTTCCGATGTTCTTCTTAGGTGAAATATGTTACTTATGTATAATCGCCCATGGGCGCTTCTTCAAGTGGGTGGTTATTTGGTTCCAAAAATAGTTTCATGAAATGAAATTTTCCGTTTAACCGCCATGGGCGGACTTCCGGAAAACCCAGGTAATAGTTTAATCCTTTTGAACCCCTATAACACCAACTAACAGCAATATGCTGAGAACTAAGCACAAAGATAGGTTAGAGTTCACTTAAATATACAACTTTGAGCGAACTAAAGTTGTTTGAATATATTAAAAAGATATGTCCAATGACAGTGGAAAGTCAATCACTACGATCGCCACGGCTTAAAGAAAGTTTAACAGATACGAAGACGGTAGGGGATTTGAATAACGCATTAACTATAGCCGCAATAACTCTAAAGCTCATTACTCAAAAATCGCCTCTGACAGAAAAGCAACTCGCAACCTCTCCAATGAAAAACTAAGATTCTGTAATCCACATTATTAGCATGAATCGGCTTGTGGGTTTGATCATTCCATGAACTAAGTACCCATCGTTGAGTAACGAACCAGTGACCTCTAACATGGCGGACGAGCACGTTAACCACAGCTAAACTGGAAAACACGAACTATACCAAAAGAACCTACTAAATATGTCAAAGCCATATTTACTAATATACCTAGTTTCCCGTTACCTGAATTGACTGTCCGGGAGTAATAAAATCATTCTTAGCGGGAGGTAGAGCAAGGTTAGAGCCACTAAAAGCGAATTGATCTGCAGCAAGCTCCTCTTCATCCTCATCCGACTGGGATGTAGATCGACGACGTCTGGATCGAGGTGACGAGAGACTCGATTCATCTCCGCTACTTTCTTCTGCATCTTCTACTGGATCTGGGTGGAGATGAGGATCTTTAATAATAGCAGCCGAGGTGCCTGGTTGTAGATTTGACGATTCTAAAATATTCATGACATTCGTCAAGCTTTCTGCTAACCTCCCACAATAACGATATTGCAAATTTTCCCCCTTGCTAAGGGGAATTCTAAGAAAAGCCCCTCCCCTCCCCTCCCCACCAGTGCAACATCGAGTTGTTAAAAGGCACGAGGGGAAACCATGTAAGACCCTCTCCACTATAAATGATACAACAAAATAATTAATAAATTACAATAGTTGATTTAATTGTTTAAAGGGCAAAAAAACTAGCTGACAATTCGACTAAGAAAGCTACATAAAAAGTTACTTCAATCGTTAAAAACAATTTATACAAGATTTTATTTATATATAAAGTATAAGAAAGAGATTGATGGTAGGAAGTAATTATGGAAAAGAAATTGATATGCCAAGTAAGGTATATACAACGGCCTAAAAAGGCTGGATGAAGCTCATTTTCGTGGTAAAACGGTGAAGTCCTCCGTTGAAAAGTCAGAGGTCACAAATTTGGTACACATTGATGTGCATCTAATGAGTGGAAAGACAGAAGGCAATATTAGCAAAGAGGGATGATAGAATTCGAGTATACACCACGAAGGCTCCATAATATAACCCCTCGAACAAAGATTAGTATTGAAAAATGCTTCATGTAACTACTAGTCACCACAGGGCATTTATGCATTCAATTCCATTCTATCAACAAAAAAATGAATTGGTACTCAATTTTCTTAATTTTATTTGAGGTAGAAAATTCATTCAAACACTTATTACAAGAACCCTCTGTGATCATTTCAATCTCGAAATTATGATATTTAACGAGGTATTTTAAACTATGAGATACCACCAACTATCCAAAATTTACATGCATTGAGACGTATTTAGTTAATGACTTAAAATGTACTAGAAGCAAAATCAACTTACCTGTTGAACTTGAGGACTTAGGAAAAGTGAGATATTCCGATTCTGGAAGACGTTTCCCGAGCCGCTGACACTGCTCCAACCACTGAGGCAGCACCACATGCATGCGATGAGTGTCTAACGCAGCACGTACATCTTCAGCAAGCACGGCCTGTTGTGCGGACGACTTCAATCCACCTCTGCCCTGTGACATTGGTGAAGGAGGCGGGAGGTAACAGGTACTAGGGCAAGCAATCATGTGAGTGCATGCCTAAATAAAAAGAGGAACTTATTGATGTAGACAACCTTAAGAGAGTTGGGCTAAGATTCCATCAGGGTGCAATTTCGCAATTTCTGTTATAAATAAAATTCATGTTGACCATCATCTCCCTATAAATAACAGTGTCACTGTATCAAAAATTGCGAGATAGCGTGCTGGGATGCAGAATAAGTAAAGCCTTGGAAATTGTTCAACCAAAAACTAGCAACAACCCTTGTTTTAGGCTAATTATATAATTTATCTTAGGACTCCTTGGGCATAGGCATAGGAGGTAAGTCTTATTGGGGTGTGCGATAGACTTACCTCCAAGTGGTGCACCCTGGGCAACGTATATTTATACGGCAAAAAAGTCTATTAACTGGCAGTTGACTTCTCACTTCAAACTACCATCACCCTATTGTATGTCATATTCGACTACTTCCCCAGTACTCACTTCACCTTTTTCTACCTTCGTCTTTGAAACACTCTTCTGTTCCCC